GTGTGTGTGTGTGGCCCTGTGATGGACCAGTGATCAGGCCTGGAAAGGCTCCAGCCCCCTGTGGGCCTGCACTGGATTAGGCGCGTACAGAAAATGGATGGTTAGATAAACACATCCATTTCTCTACTCTGGAAACAACACGGAGTCCTTCCCCTGGGTCCCTGAAACGTTTATGTGCAGGGAGCCAGATCTGTTCTGAGAATATCAGAAAGGTGCCCAGTTTTTAAGCATCGAAGGACTCATTTTTTAGTTGGTTTAGTTGCAACATCTGAACAGAGACCAGGAACCACCGTTTCCTTTTCTACCTCTGCTCAATGAGTCCTCTCCCTCCCTCAGTTTCTCTTCTCCCCTCTGGACTGAGCCTGTTCTCCTCACATCTAACGGTGGCTTACCGGGATTTGCTGGATCTCTCCGGTGTTGGTGATGATCTGCTGCATGACCTGCATGGTCTGGCCCTGGGCCTGGGCCGTCTGGGCCTGACCCTGGGCCGCGGCCGCCTGCACGATCTGGACCTGCTGGCCCTCGCCCACCTGCATGGCAACCGGGGCACTCTGTGGGGGAAAAAAAACAGAGAGGGACAGGAAAGACATCAGACAACCGTTAACGTGCCATCAGGAAATCCCTCATCCCTGGAAAACTGTTTCAAACAAGCTGTACAAAGTTTTTTTTTTTTTTTTTAAAGCCCATTTAAAAGATTGAGGGAGTCACTAAATGGGGGAACATGCAATGCTGTTATTAATTTTATTTTATTTGAATGTTTTGTCGTATCTAAGGATTAATGTATCTCCCACACTTTATTTCAAAATCGCCTGGTGGACATTTTATTTATCTATTTATTTATTGCTTTTTCATGTAATTCTATCTTACCCAGTTTGTTCAAAGTTGTTAGGTGTAATTTACTTACCATTTTATTACACACAAAAAATTATTGTGAGTGACAGTAAGTAACATGAAAATATCTAACCACTGTATTGTCATGCTCTCACACAATAAAAATAAAAATAAAAGACTGAGGGAGTCCTTTAGATACAGACTCCGGGTCCTATCGTCTCCTCTAACTGTCACATTATCCAGGAGAGGCCACCTGATCTGAGGCTTTGGCCTGAGCTGGAGCTTTTTAAACTGGGTGTGTGAGATCGGGGAGCAGATGGAGAGCATGTGGTGTGTTTACCGTGATGGGTGTGCCTTGTGATTGCACCTGCACTTGCTGTAACTGCTGCATGGTGGCACCCTGCAACATCTGACGGCCGACAGAGTTGAATGGGAAAATGAGAGAAAGACACACAGGGTGAGAAAGCAGCGACGCCAACAACGCACAAATGTAAGCATGACTGGCGTGTGTGCACAGGGAGAGTTAGGCGTCCAGCAGGAAACGCTGCGTAAAAGCGTGATTATGAAACATAAAATGACATCAAGCTGAGGCAGTGGCTGAGAAGCTCAGGTGAAATGATCAAAAACCAGTAAAAAAAAAAAAAATGGGTCAAAGTTTGGGACAATGTTGGTGATAACTACATATGTAATGTAAAGTCAATAAGCAAACCTACGCCAGGATCAGGGTTTCACTCCAGCCAAGAGAAAATAAAGAAAATGAAGCGCTCCAGTTTACTGGATAGACTTATTTGTACAAGTAAAAGTCTGCCTGAAAGTAACTAAACCACCCATATATCTGCTGTGTGGGACTAGCTTTAACTCCTATGTGTGGTATTATAATAAAATAAAGTAAAATTATGCAAAACAACAATGATCTATCTCCTGTTTTTAAGGTTGAAGTGTTTTTATAATCCTCAGAAGAGGCTAACTTACAGATTTTATTCAATGCTTTCAGTGGCTCTTCGAATGGAAAAGCATTCAAAACGTCTATGTTTTTCCTTATAATGGCTTTATTTATTCTAATCGCGATGAAAGACATCAACCTTTCACGATTGTCTCTCAATGTTGTCTTTTGTCATCCCACATGACTTTCAGTTTCAAACTTAAACAGTAAAGATTTGACTCCATGAATGTGTTTGTGGCTCTCTGAGCACATCATGAGGGGGTTTAAAAACTCTCTAAGCTTAATCTGCTGGTCATAATCATTCGAGATGAAAATCATCAGATTCCAGCCACCAGCCAAGCAATCAATGTCTCCATTATTTAAAAGAAGCTACATTTTCAGCCGCTTACGAACAGCCAGCGGCAGTTTTACACACATTTATGACAAAGGTGAGACAGTATGATCGGGCCGGCTGTGAAATGGCAGCTTTGAAATGAGATTTCTTCACGTTAACTCCTTGGGACTTTAGCTCTAAATTAAAACCAAAAGACTGAAGCGATTTGTGACGTCCAGCAGAGTCGCCTTTTCCGTCCACATGAAAACCGATTGTGGTCCATTTAAAAAAATGTTAATTATTTCCTGCTGTAGGAGCCTAAATGCAGTATTTTAGTTTGAATATTTCTAATTTAAAAATATGCAAATTCATAAGTAAGATAAATATTGCTTGTGATTTCGTGATTCAAAGGGATTGAAAAATTCTATTTACATATGTACAGTTCATTGATATTGTGGGAGTAAGATATGACTTTATTGTGACATTTAAAAACCCACCATTGGGGGGGAATTATCTTAATGCCGGGGGGGCTAGTCAGTGGGAATCAGAAGGAAATTGGAGTGCAATAGTTTTTTTACCTCGCCCTTTCCAGGCTCCATTGGACTTTGAAAGGCTTAATTTAGTGGGTATATTGTATGTCTCTTGTAATGTTGTGTGTAAAATCAAGAAGTGGACTCGTAGATTTATTTTTGGAGTGTTTTTGATACAGGGGAGTCTGACGAGCGTCAAGCTAAAGCTTCAATAAGGACAGTAAGGACCTACATCAGCTTTTTAAAAAGGAGAAATATTTCATGGGGAATTACAGTGTAAGCATTTTAGTCCCAACGACAAAGGCCAGAGTCAAAGTGCGACTGCGGGGTGAATCACACCAGATCTTCACACGTAGGACGGCCCAGCTACAGGCAGCAGGAAGCAGCATGAAGCAGCATAGCTACAATACATGCAGACCATAATACAGGAACAGAGGCTAAGCAGAAAGGGAAGCAGGAACTGATTCCTAAAAAGAGACAACTTGATGTGGCCAGGTTTGAAGGTTTGGTACTAAAATCTGGATCCTGTGTTTGCTTTTGCAATGTGTTTTTCATGCTTAGTAGGAGTCCTGAAACATATATATCTCCATTATCAACTCAAACTAAACTGAAAGTACAATTTGAAGCATTTTAAAGGACAAATTACCACACAAATATGGTATAATAAGTATAAACGGGGCCAGAGAATGGTCAGTGAGGCTGAAGATGGTGATCCTTCTGCAGGACTTTGCACATTAATGCCTACTTGCTGTTACTTTTCAGAATCAGAATCAGAAATACTTTAATAATCCCAGAGGGAAATACTGTAATATTTGCTGGTGGGAAAGTGTTCTGCTCCAAAATATGAACGAAGGCCTTTTTGGTGGATTCTTCAGACTGGTTGGAGTGGAGAGACACACACATACACCCAGACATAATAACCTTTATCTACCAAATCTGCCTTAAATTCCCGGTTTGACTGCGTTTGTCCTGCTGTGTGGCGCTTCCTGTGGATCTCCGCTAACGGGTACCTGTCCCTGCTGGGGCTGTGTGATGATGATCTGCCCGGGCTGGATGGTGGTGGCGGTCTGGGTGCCGGGCTGCTGGGGCTGCTGGGCGCCCTGCACCTGCACGGCCCCGGGCTGCTGGGCCAGGGTGAAGTAGTACTGCACCGGCTCGGCCGGGGCCACCGACTGCCGCATCTCCTCCTGAGGACGGGACACGTTGGCATTGGGATGAGAAATGTAATATTGCGTCTACTCTGAAAGCCGCTTTGGATAAAAGCGTCTGCCAAATGCATAAACATTAGGGGTGGGACGGTTCACAACATCCACGGTTCGGTTCGATTCACGGTTTCGTGGTCACGGTTTTCGGTTCTGTTCGGTATATATTGATTGTTAGGAAAATCTATTATGTCTTGTATAGTCAGGTTAAAACTGAAAGAAAAAAGCAGTCTGACATTTGATACATTATTGTGACAGTCTGAGGTTAAAAGTAGGTGAGATTCTGGCATTGCCAGAGAGGAATCAGTGCTAATTCCAACATGTGCTTCCCTCTAAATGCAAACTGGTCCCATACAGCAGACCTAGAAACTGCTGTTGGTGCATCTGATTTTTATTATCGGCTTCGCTTCTTCTTCTTGTTTCCTACTGGTGGTTGGCTTTGGGCGCAGTAGCGCCACCTTCTGCTCTGGAGTGAACACGCTTCCCTCTGAGAAAAAGGAGCAGCATGAACCGAACGCAACACACGCGAACCGAACCGAGACAGTCCAACCCAACGGTTTGGACGGTTTTCAGAAACCATCCCATCCTTAGTGTCTACTCTGTAAGTCGCTTTGGATGAAGGCGTCTCCCAAATGCATAAACATAAACATAAACACACACACACACACACACACACACAGGCATCGGAGGCCTATCAGTCCATTACATCTCCATGAATTATTTTTGCCTGTGTAACCGTAGAGGAGAGGAGGTCTGATAAATAACTGATGGGTAGGTAGAGTAACGCAGGCCGAGGACCAGCATCCAACCGGCCAATGACTGTCTCATCTCTGAGGACTTTTAAACCCAACCAGACCAGAATTATTGATCTGTGGTTAAACCTGCTCCTCCTGTCCATCCTCTTCTGGGGTCAAGCCAAAAAAAATACAACATCAGTGTTCGCTGGTGTTCTGTTTACTCTTATCAAAGTATAAAGACGATCCTTTATTGGTAAACAGACCTGCAGCATCCTGTTTCATAAGCGACTAATGAGCTCCGTCCTGATGAGGTTTCTCCATCACCAGAAGAGTAAACACCCCTCTCCCAGCTCCATGACAACACAGCTGAGAGTGTAGGATGTTTACATGTCTGGAGATAGTCTACTTGACAACAAATTCACATATCTCCCTCCTCCATCTTGTATACTAATGACCCTTTTCCCAGTGTCAGCAGGGCCAGTTCTAGAAAATCAGGAGAACTGGGGGCTCATTTTCACTCACTGCTGCTTTAATTTTTAGCTTTAACTTTTTTATTATGCGCTACAATTCAGTTTTTTTAACGTCTTAAGCGGGCTAAATGCTACCCTGGGCTGATTAGAGGTCGTTGGTTTCATTGTTGGGGCTCCTGTCGGCCGTCTGTGGCAAAAAGATGCTGCAAACATCCGACTGAAAGCTCTCGCTTTGTGAACCCCAGCTTCCAGTCAAGGATGTTTACAGCACCTCAACGCCTCCAAGATGCCAACAACGTGTCGTAAATGGCAGAAACATGACAAAACGCCACCGTATTTCCACTCTGCTGGAGTGTGTACCTGTCGCTTAGGCGGCTTCAGGTCGTCCCGGGGCACGATGTCGATCAGGAAGTCAAACTGGTCGAACTTTGTGATCGCCATGGCGATGTCATTCCTCTGAAAACATGAGACACAGAGCGCCAGAGCTTAATTATGCTAAATCTATAAATACACACAACGTCCCTTCGAAGTCTGAGGTCATCGCTCCGTAAATAGACACACGAGAAGCCTCAGAGATTCATGTACAGTTCCCAGTAACGGGGAAACAGCTGCTTACTGTAGAGCCTTCACATGTTCAACCACCTCATTTAAAGGCGCGTCACAGGGAAATCTAACACCCCACAGACTCAGCAAATAAGAGGATAAAAGCTAATGAGATCAATCACCTTCATAGTCATAGATCTTTTTCTTTGATTAAGTGAGAAACAACTTTTCCTTCCCTCTCGGGCACATCCTCTGCCTCCATACCCACAACAGTTTGATGTCTCAGTGGAATTTTCCACAGGATATTGGCTGTCAGGGCGCCCCCATTGTGGCCCTCCCTGTACTAAGGGCTATTTATAGTAGCTTGATTAAAATCTGGTAACATCAGGTCACATCTACACTTGCTCTATCGATGGGCGTTACTATGGTGAGCCAACTGGCGTCCCCTCTTCACAATAGGGCACTCCTGCTCTCGATCGGACAATAAAAAAAAGAAAAAGGGAAAAAAGAGATGCTCATCAGGTGATGTTTTATCCCTGGATAACGTTCACATCCACAGAGTATCTATAGAAGTCACACATAGTAGATTTTTAAAACCACAGAGTATGACTTTTTGCCTTTTTCTTTTTTCTTTTTTTTTTAAGAGAGGAAACTCCAAATAAAAGCTTGAATATATCTTTTACCACAGACTTTTCCCACTTATGATGGCATACTCATGCATTCATGAGCCTCTAATCTTATCAAGAGGTATGTGAATGAACAAAATTGACTTGAAGGCTTTTATGACCTCCTCCACAGGAGGAAAGCTCCTGACTTTAATCTTATATCTATCTAGAGACCACATTATTCAACTTTTGGATAGATGACCAAGCAAAATAACACCTAGAAGGGGGGGAAGTGTGTACTGGTGTCTGGCTTTGCTTTAAAAATATCAAGGAAAGGAGAAACTAACAGAGAAAACTGGTCCTTAAGGGGGTTGTTGGTATGAAGTCTCTGCTTGTATAAACACATTGAGAGTCAGGGTATGAAAATCATAGAATAAAAAGACTTCAAATTGATACCGAGGTATGAAGAGTGGTTTTCAAAACCAATAAAAAGGGACAGGTCAGGTAGATCCTTCAACCAAAGTATGCACTTGAAGACAAAGAGGCCAAAGCCAGACGATGCAGATGTGAGTCTGACCTGTAGCGTCCGCCTCTTGTTGTCCTCGGTGTGAATCCAGGCTCGGAGGGTGAGCTCTGTGATGAAGATCTGAGCAGCTTTGGCGAAAAGGACCGGAGCCTCTGCGCTGATCATCTGTGAGGAGGAGACAGCATAGTACCGGATTAAGAACACTTTAAAGGAACACCCAAAGACTCCCAGCCGACCTGAGAAACAGCTGAAGTGAGCAGAAGAAAAATTAGATCATATGTTGGTTTGAAAGTCCAAAATATTTTTCAGAAATGTGCCATTGCTCTTAAAGAAGAGGAAACAAACACGATGGAAGTCACTCCTATAAATAAGATTTAACAAAGCTCTGCTCTTTTATGATCACTTGCCAACTCCACCTCTTGTTTCTTAGGGAAACTTAACTTTAAGGAACATAAGTGGAGTCTAAAAGTACATCATGGTCCGTTTAGCACCCACATCCTAAAGCTGCAGGAGGGTCTTCTCCACAGATATTCCAGTGATCTACTGATCTCTTTACAGCTTTAAGCTGCTGCCTAACTAAGAGGATAGCAAAGCACAGCAGACAGGACATTCAGAGCACACATGCTCTTTCCCAGGCCTTTTTTTTTTTTTTTTGCATAGCCTGCAATGTTTAACAGGTGTGAGGGGAGGAAAATGTTAACACCTCCATGACTCATGACTGCATGCAGTGAACAAATGTGAGGAAATTTGTTCCCTGGGTCTTTTGAACAGGAGAAAACTGAGAAAATCTATATCAAGAGGTGCTTTCATCCAAATTAATCTGTTTTATTATTGCAAATACATAGGAAACCGGTGGCTGATCACAGCTCAATAAACTCAATAAACAATTGCAGGGTCCTTTTTCAGAGAATAGAAGCTTTTCCAACATGAGAGCGTCTATATGTGATGTAACTATACTGGAAATACTAACACTTTAAACCTGTAAAAACTAAAAAATATGAAAAATGAGCCTCTGCCACAATACTGGGGAAGGTCAGACTGTGAAGTCTGGGGTTTATTGGGTCTATGTGATGGTTTAACCATCCGCTGGCTGATGACACTTAAGCCCAAGAGTCCAAATGTAAACTGACAAATAACAGAAAAAACTCAGTTATCGATGCAAAATCTCTAACCTAGTTAAGGGGATTACCACCGCAGCTACTCCCAAATAATAATAAGCTCATTATTTGCATGTTATTACCTTAACATCCTCATCCAGCTTCATGATTTTCTTGATTCGAGCGAGAGGCAGCTCCTGCACGCGGAAATCCTTCTAAAAATAACATAAGAACTTGGTTATTCTTTTTTAAAATCCTCCTTGGGTCTCGTGGGCACGCGTGTGTCGGGGGCCTGTAGCTTCACCATTGTCAGGTTCCTGATCTCCTCCATGATTCGAGGCCAGAAAGACTGCAGGGTTTGCTGGGCGTCGCTGCCTCCAGCTCCAAAGGCGTCTGCAGACATCTTCTAGGCTGTGGACAGAAGAGACAGGAGAGAGGTGTAAACCAACCAAAAGCTGTTGGGAAACACAAAACAAACAGGAGACGCGGAAATTCGGCGTGTCGGTCCAAACCAGAGAGAGTCAGACCCACATACCCCACCATCTTTACACAGAAAGATCCAAACCCGGCCCCAACGGGCCTCTATTCTTGTCCTTTGTGGGATTTTAACGTCTTAAGAAGCGACCAACGGACCAGATGCCCTCCACAAACACAAGCATTCTGGGACCTCAGCAGGTGGAGGAGCGATTGGGGCAAAGTAAAACAACTTCAACAACTTTGTGAGGTGACAAATTCTTTTTTCTTTTTTCAAACTTTATTTATTGAACATTTTGAACATAAGACAGACCTTGTTTGGAACCAATTCAAAACAAACAATTCACCAATACAAACTCAATGTCACAGTTCTGTCAACCCCCACCCCACCCACAGGCCAAAAAATAAATGAATAAACAAATGAATTAAAAAATAGAAATAAAAATAGAAATAAAAAGTATAAATAAATAAAAAGTATTAAGAGAAAAACAGATTGTAGGCAAATAAAAAAAACACAATGGTTCGCTATTCGAGAAATGGCGCCAGTGAGACGCACGTCGAGGAAGAACGGAATAAGGTAGGAACACATTTTTTTTCCTGATGAAAGAAGAGAGTCTACTCTTTCTTTTGGTGTGTTCGGTGTTTACATAGTCATAGCACAAACTATTCTGTTGCTGTTGAAAAATCAGTCAAAATGCTCAAAAAACTAAGTCAGTATGGGACTCTCTGTTCTGAAAATGGCTGGCAGTCAATGAGTTAACGTGTGCAAAAAGTCATTTTTAAAAAACGTGTAAAGTTCTACAAGAGAAATTCAGTCCTGCAAACACTTGTTTGCAGACAGAATAACCGGCGTCCCGACGAGGGCCCCGACTGTTTGAAAGAGGATCCAGCAGGTTACTACGGCATGCCAGGAATCTGGTGGAGGAATATTGGCTCGCCTGTCAGAACACGTAGAGCCCGGAGAGTCTCGATCACACACACTCTCCCTTCCCTTTCTACCTTAGTGAAAAGATTTGACAGGCCGAGGGATATTTGGGGGGGGGGGGGGGGGGGGAAACGGGGGGGGGGCGCTACTCAAAGGGGGACGAGATGCTTTTGCGTCTTTTTGGGGGGGGGGGCAGTGCCTTGTCCAGTTCGGTATTAATCCGGCACTAAGACAAAGAGCCACGGGCTTAAACCGGGGGAGGTAAGAGACAGACAGGGCCACAGAAACACTGCTATGTGGGTCAAACGAGACGGGACGAGGGAGAAAGGGGAAAAGCGAGACATGACACTACAAAGGGAGAGTGTTCGGAGCTGGGGGGGCTCCACTTTACCTCTCCTTTCTCACTCTTGAAAGGCTTCGTTCCTGGCCCTGCTCACAGCCCATTACAGCACAAAAAGACACCTTTCAAACCCCTGGTCCAGCGTCTCCCCGGCTCCCTTTTAGGGGTTACCCGACCTCAGGTCTGCATCAGCTCCTTGTCTCGAGCCACCTAAGTGCACTTGTAAATATTTTACGCGGATAAATCAGCGATTCAAAAGGCCGGGCCTCTAACCCGATTGATTTTTGACAGGAGAGAAGAAAGCCGGCTGCCCTGGCAGTTGGAGAAGTTACTGAATAAAACAGAAGAGACACCGCCGCGTCCCGCTCTGTCACTCAGTTTTTTTTCGACAGACAGTAGCCCAAATCGATAAGACAGAATGGTGGGCGAGAGGGGTTTTTATACAGATCAATCAGGCCGCTAGTAGCTATGGCGGGGCGGGCTAGCCACTGACCTTGACAGTGTCCCTCTTCCTCTGTCTGACGCTACAGTGTCCAGTTGCATTTCAAGGTTGATTGAAAACCTGCAGTCTCCAGAACAACTCCGGCATTTCAAAGGACAGGGGGTGACTAATGGGTATTGTGCTTTTCCTCCCAAAGCTCTTTAGCAGCACAAGAAGGTTCATTTGTTTTTTTTTACCTGTATCCCCCCCAATTTTAGAACACCGTCTTGTGATAATTGTGAAAATGACAACGCGGTGTGTCTGTGTGTGAACTGCCAGTTGGTTTTTATGGCCATCTCCAGCTAGCAGCTTGATAAGAAACAACTAAGAGGCCATTTGTTTAACCCGTGATAACTCCACTTTGGCCCCAAAGCCGGGGGCCTCCCGACTCCTCCTCTGGCTTTCACATACATTTCACACGGCCTCAACCCCTGACTTTTCTATCAAAACACTCGCAGGGTAACGCTGTAATTAAATCTCACTTACGCCGCCCCTTTCTGTAACCCTGCGACCTTCAATGTAAATACACAGCCACACGCTAACCGCGGCTTCGGGGGAGGAGGGCAGGCGGGGGGGAAGTCGTGTCACTGCGTGCAAAGATGAGAAAGCAACTGTGACACGAGGCATACCGAAGCGTGAGATCAAATAAATAAATAAAAACACGAGATAGAAGAACGGGAAGCTGATACTTAGCCTCCCTTTTCCCCGCTCTTTCTCCTCACAGGCCTTTGAAAGTTGCCGCTACAACGAGCTAGTTTGTGTCACCCAAACTGTGCCGTCAGTCGTTAACATATTTCCCCATGCTTTGCATCAGTGGAAAGTTTGTGAGCGAGCCTGTCAGTATCTGATTCACAAGTGAACAACACACATGATTTGAGTCTCGTCTTGTTCGAGCCGACGTGCTGCACAAAGACCATTTTGAAACTCCCGAAAAGCCCATAAATGCCACCGTTACAAAAGCCTCAGATGTTCTGGAGCTTAAAGCAAACGGCCTCAGAAAGTAAATATCAGTTTTTTCCTAATTTCATAAACCCTCATGAGCACATTTCCGTTTATTCTTCACCCAGAAATGTTAGCATAAAAACGAAAACACTGGACGGTGAAATTCGGGCTGTTTTGTTGTGTTCGTTTGTTGCCGTTTCTGCTCCAGATAAAGCCCCCAAAAAATGTTGGTGTGTCTCATCTGAAGTGAGCTCGCCATTCTTGAAAAGACTGCATGACTCTGCCCTGTGCACTGAACCTGACGAGCTCATTTCTGCTCTGTTCTAAGCTGCTATGGTATGCTATATTAGGATACAATGTGCTCAGCTCCTCTCCTCTTCCCTGCACCAGTGTTGTCCTTCATCGAGCCAGAGGGACAGAAAAATGATGGTGTTGAGTTTCCTTTCCAGCAAACTCTGCTCACTGTGTGTGTGTGTGTGTGTGCTTTTACAGCTTCGTAAAACTTGGAAATCTTCTCTTCCCCCTTTTGCTGGGACTATATATTTCTCTTCCTGTCTCCTGTCTCCTACTTCCCATCTCATGTGTGTGTTTTTCTCTCCTCTTCTGACTTACCTACTTTCACCTGATCGCCCTCCTCCAGCCTCCCCGAGACAGTCGATGCTGCCTCGCTTGCAGCAGCTGAATCAGCGTAAATGTTGTTTTGCCACCCTGGACCTGCAACTCTTTTCTTCTTTTCACCTCATCCTGATCTCCCTCTCTTCGTTTTATGGCACGTCAAATTAAAATTAAACGACTTCCTCAAACTAACGCAGGACATCGCAACACTGTCCTCGAGCCTCCAATTCCTGCCCCAAAACCCGGATAAGACACTGGCTCAGCACAGGAAAAATATAACATCCATTCAGTTATTTTAAATAAATTATGAAGGATAAATGAGAGGACAAATAGGCCCAATCATTAACTCTGCACGTTGGCATCTTTCAGAGTTTTCCAGGCCAAACTGGTACAAAATAGAAACGTGTGTAACTCCACTTGAAAGGCCACTCGGTTTGGAAAAAATCTCCTGGCCTACCTGGAACTAAAGAGGAAAACTTGATCTTTTCTATTTTATAATCAAAACAACAATCTCTGTCACTGTAGTGAAGGCAAACTGTCCTCATCCTTGATCTTTCCCTGAAGCGGGACTGACACATCACATATTAGCAGAGCTGATAAAAGTGGATCCGACCCACAAAAGAGAAACACAAAGAAGCCAACAGCTGTAACAAACTCACACTTGAGTGCGTCACAAGTGTCAGAAAAAAAGCACATATTTATTCATTATCAAGACAATTAACCCCCTATTAAAATTCCCCTAAAAGTGTTAAATTAGTGTATATTGTTTGTACTTATTCAGAAAGATATGCGGCAAATTTGATTCTCTCATATTTTCACTTTCAATTTATCGTCCACATTATTTCTCTTCCTGGTAACTAATACCAACATACACCAAAAACTTACATTTCACTGTAAACAATTTAAAAACTGAGAGGCTAACCCCAGTTTATCATATCAGCTTCTCAAAGATCATTGATGGAGTGAAATGTGTTTGTGCCAGAGGTCAGTGCTCAATGAGCAAATGTGTCGAATCGACAGTGATGCAGAACCGGACGGATCTGCAGGGTCAGGGATCAGGAAAGGTCTCCGTCCGTTAGGCTTTAACCAGCTTCCAAAGCAGCGACACAAACGCAACCGATTCATGCTCCCGGCCAACTTAAACGCTTCGTTTTCAGTCATCACTAAAACGGTTTAATTCCTGTAAAATAAAGACAGTCTCAGCAGCAAATGTCATGCTGGCGTTCATTATAAAGAACGGCCCTAAATCAAAGGGGATGCATGTGCGAGTGGTGGAGTATCAGAGCCGATGACCCCAATCACAAATAGCACAGAGAAACAACTGGCAAGAGCAGAACACACAGGGTAAATGATCTACTCTAACAAAACACAACAAAAAAAACAAGAAGTTCCCAGCCGAGAATTACAGATTAACCACTCGGTTATGCGCAACGTTTCCACGGATGTTGGTGCAAATGTTTGATTTTTTTACTAACAAACAAAAGAGGAAAAAAAAAAAAATAATACAGAGACGTCGGGGTTTTAAAAACGGGCACGAGAGCTGGCAGCTGCAGGGCAACATCAGCCCGGCTGGAGCAAAACGGGCCGTCCGAACGGGCCGAGTAAACTTTGCCCTTGGTTCCGCTT